TAAAAAGGAAGCGGGTACATACATTGAAAACCCTCCATGAGCTCCCCTGACCTTTTGGTTTCCTTTAGTGCCAATTTCAAGAAGATAAAGAAAACTACTCTATTCCCTGAGAGGCAGAAGTTCCAATCTGTGACACCACAAAATTTCTCTGCGTTGAGAAGGCTGGGATTGCACCCTGTGGCTCAGTTAAAATCATCAAATTTTGCTAAATGAAATTTGGGGGGAAACACTTCTCTGGTGAAGAAAGATCCACTTTGTCCTCCAAGGCATCTTCCTTATTTAACTGAGCAAGACCAGAGGCTCAGGACTTGCTTTCAAAGAAGAGCCTCAAGTTGAGCCCTTTGTGGTTGTAAAACCCCTTTTAATAACAGTTCAGAAAAGAAGCATAAGTACAGGAATAAAGCATGCCAAAACCACTTCTGCAGATATGTACCTCTGTGCTTTTGAGACTATGTTTGTCCCATTTTTAACTCAATCTACCTTTTTCCTTTTTGGCTTTTCCAAAACCTATTTCTCTTGCTTTTCACATGCAACCTACTTTATTAATATAAGATGAGAAGCTCTTGAACCTTGTAGCCATTAATAACTCAAATACTTAGAAACAAGCCAGAGAGTAAACTGAAAGGAGCTCCCTGTTGCTTGAGGGGCTAAGAAGAGGGCAGGAGAACACCATTAGTTATCAAAGAGGCCCAGAGAAGCCCCTGCATCATCGCAGTCTCACAGTTCCCCTCTTTCCTCTGAATTTCTTCCAGGATCTTCCATGACTTGCTCCAGGTCCAGCTCAGTGGAGGCTTCACCTTCAAGGAAGACTCTGCCATGCTCTCAAATCAGCAGAACTTGGGGTCCAGCACTTTCTTTTCCCTCCAAAGGAAAGGCCCTATGATGAGCTGGGGGCAGAGACGTGTTGGCACCATTCTAACTTCCTTTCCCTCAGACAGGATGAATGCTGAAGTCTTGCTTTGGGGAACATGAAATCTTTTCTTAGATCCTGGCTGGTCCAGTCCTGGATTCCTGGGTTCTACTTCCTTTTCCATTGTGGGTGCGGTGTGCACTGTGGTGTCACTGTGCTGACATCACTTGGTTACCTTCTTTTTCAGGATTTTTTTTTTTCAGAACCGGGGATTGAACTCAGGCCCTTGCACTTGCTAGGGAAGTGCATATTCCACTGAGCCATTTCCCCAGCCCCCTCTTTTTCAGGATCTTGTCTTGTCCATCTGACGTGCCTTTCAGCTTGGGGTTTGTAGCCTTCATCTTGGGTGATTCAGGACGAGACAAAGTTGGGTCTTTTTGCTCTTTCTCCTCCATCTCTAACTCATCCTCTTCTTTCTCCACGTTAGACTCAGGCCTGTTAGCCCCAGGCAGCATTAAGTCTTGTTTTTCTTCATTGCTGTCAGATCCACAGTATCGGTTCCAGAAGCCAAATAAGTTAACCCGATCCTCAATGTTGGTCTGCTCTGCTTTATGAGCCATCATTATGGCTACTTCCAGTATCTGAGTGTAGTCCTTGTTCCTGCACTCTTTCACTCCTGTTTGCTTGAGGGACAGCTCTTGGAAATTCTTTAGCATGTCCACTGGAATCCAAGCAAGAGAAACTGTTTATCAAAAAAAAAAGTCACATGGTATTTAGATAGAAGAGAATCAAAATGAGATGCAGAAAGATTGTACTCCTCCAAGTCAGGGTCAGATTCTACCAAGCCTAGCCACCCAGGGTAACCGTACTGCTTGGCCCAGATGATGCATCCTGGGATACAGGAGGCATGGACCACTTCACTCTCAATTCCTGTCTAGGTCTTCTCAGGAATATCACAGCACTTAAAATCCAAGGCTGTATTCTAGTGACAGAACCAATTATCTGGGAGAACCGGAGGGTCAATGTTCCTACACAGCTGCCTCCATTTCCTACAGCTTGGAGAGTAACACCAAACCCAGACTATACAATGTCCAACAACATTTCTCTTTCTTTCTTTCTTTTGCGGGGGGTGGTCTGGTCTCTGGTCTGAGAATGATTTTACATATCCTTTAGTTGGTCTCTCTGTCTGTGCTCATGTCCATCTTTGGGTGTCTCCATTTTTTCATCTTGAGACTCCTTCTTTCTTTTGCCTAAGTACTCTCTATCAACTTTCTCCTCCGAGAGTACAGGAATTGCCTGACCTGGCTCAGATGTGCTCATCTCTGAGGTAACTTTATCTTCCACAGAAACTGAAGTCTCTGGTATGTGAGGTACCATCACCTTCTCCCCACTGGCATCATCTCCATCAGTATCAGAAGCCATGATGCCTGGTTCTTTGTCTGACTGCATAAACACTGTTGGTTGACACAGGAAGGCTCCAAGCACACCTTGAGGGACTTGCGTAGCACAGTCTGGACAATCTCCTCAAATTCAGAATCAGTAGGAATTAATTTTTCCTTTTTATTCTTCTCTGCTGGCTTGCTGCATTGAGCCCTTCTTGTCTTCTCAAGGCCAAGGCTTGGACCATTCCCTCTGGTTTCTTTCTTCTTCTCTACCCTGGACTTTTGTTCACTTGGCTTGGCCTCAGTCTCTGGGGAGCCAACCCCTAGAGCCTCCCTGGGTAAATCAGGGCTATGAGGCATCATGCTATGCAATTTTTGTATAGGGGGGGCAAAAGTTTTCTTTGGTCCCTTTCCACATTATTTCTTCAGTAGTGCTGCTTCCGTTTTTGGGGTTTTTGTTTGTTTGTTTGTTTGTTTGTTTGGGTTTTTTTTTTTTTTTTGTTTTTGGGGGGGGTTTTTTGTTGTTGTTGTTTTGTTTTGTTTTTTGTTTTTTGTTTTTTGTTTTTTTGCAGAACCGGGGACTGAACTCAGATCCTTGTGTTTGCCAGTCAAGCACTTATCCTACTGAGCCATCTCCCCAGTCCCTTCTTCGGCAGTGTTGCAATCATTCAGCTCAGAAATGACGTGCACTTTGCCTTCTGGGGGGAAGAGGACCTAAAGTTGAGGAGCAGCACAAGTTGTTGCAGCGATTCTGCAAACTCCCACCTCCCTATTTCTCTCTTTAAGCTCATATTTTAAGGTCAGTAGACCTCCATGCCTCATATTTTTCACCTGATAATTGTTAATATAATACTCCAACGCTAACTATTGACCCACCAATCTGTAACCCCTACCTGTTGCCAGAAGATTCATGAGAATGTCCTGCAACCTACCAAAATCTCCTTGCCAGGGGTCTCTGTTGCAGGCACCAAATGTAGGGATATGTTGGTCCCTCAATAGTCCCGGGAGAAGAGGATTCAGAAAACAAAGACAATAGATAATAGCTGACATCAGCTGGTGGACCATGCCTGATTGGCCAAGGACCCCTGAACAACAGTACTGATGTTTATTTAAACCTTTGCAAAGTTCCAAGACACAAGGGTGCCTAGTGACTAATAGTTCATGTTGTCCAAACAGGATGTTTTTCTCAAAACTGAGGGAGCTTGACTGTTTTCGGCAATGAGGCCTCATCCTGCCCTCCTACATATGACTAATGTCCAGCTTCATCTGCTTGCAATGAAAAAGATGTTTGGGATTGAGCTCAGTAAAAAGGCACTGGATAAAATTCCCTGAGAGAGAGAGAGAGAGAGAGAGAGAGAGAGAGAGAGAGAGAGAGATATTTATCTTGATTCCATGCACACTGGCTTACATTAATGTAGATTTAAAACACAAAAAAAAGCACTTAAAGGACAAGAATCCAAGCCAGAAAGTGGATGAGAGAAGCCAAAGGGAAGCAAAAAGCACTAGACTGAAGGGAACAGCAGAGAGACAGGGATCCCAGTGAGACAGAGCTGCAGAGACCAGGCAGAGGTGCTCACTAGTTTCCGGGGTGCCCTCCCCAGACCCCTGCTCCATGTATGCTGATCTACTTAGAAAGAGGACAGCTGCAGGGAGTGTATGTACAGAAATGCTACCTTGAGGCCATCATGTTTCAGGCAAGCCCACGGGCAAGCCAGCCCTCATCGTAGTCCTCATAAGACACTGGAAGGCTCTGGACAGCAGCAGCCCACAGAGGCCAGCCCTGCACTGGACAGCCATGCACTAGGACCCCAGGAGCCAAAGCCAGGTGAACTACCCTGCCTTCTCCTAGCCAGAGCCTCATCTGTGCTTCCCGCCCTTTGAGTTGCAGCCTCTTGTTTGTCTCTGTCCACCTGCGTGTTTCTACTCTTGGCTTTAAACCACCGCTTGGACTCTGTGAACAGCAAGGATTTTGAGATTCTCTTGGCCTCAGAGCTGCCAGCAGGCCCAGTTTCAGTGCGATTTGAAGAGCACAGATTGCGGTGCCCTTCTCCACGTGTTATGCAGTTTCTTCACATCTCTTCCCTCTGTGGAAACAGATACTACCATTTCCTGTATCCTGAGCTGGCTGTGAAAGACAGCCACTATATGTCACATGCTCACTGCAGCATCTGGGCACAGGGCTGGGCCCTGAACCTCTCTGCTGAGAACACCTGTATTTCCGTCTCAGTATCCTTCACCTTCACGACCCCTAGACTTCTTTGTCTGGTACTCACCTTCCCTGCTCCAGGGTTCAGCCACAGTCTCGGTATCTCTGTCTCTGTCCCTCACTGCGACTCCATCCTCAGTCTCCCTGCCTTTCTCTCTCCTCAGAGGTAGAGCTCACACTGTCTTCTCCCAGGACCTGGACAGTAAGTGGGCCTTTTGGTGTTCCTTCTGTCCGGGGTCGGGGAGGGAGCACTTAGCATGGGGTGTAACACACACTGCAGTAAACAGGACAGTGCCCAGCATGAAGGCTCTCCATGCAACAGTCAGGAGTGGGCAGTGGGATGGCTCAGGGACATTGGAGGTCTCAGGGGATGTCCTGGGTCCATGCCTGGATGCAGGACATGGATAGATGTCAGCAATGCAGAGGGTGAGAACCTCTGTCCTATGTTGTGGTTCCACGACCAGGGTCTCAGAGTCCAGGCAGGAGGGGTCCTTTCTGGCTGCTCCTGGAAGGGTAAGGGAAGCCCCAGAGTCATCCTGTCCCCTCCCTAACAGGTGCAGACATGGGGACCACAGCACAAACCCTCTGGATCGGTCTCCTGGGATACCTCATCCACACAGCTGCAGGTACCTGAGTGTGGGGATGTGGGTAGCCTTTGTGTACCCACAGTGTGGAATCCTGCCCTGCCCATAGGCCACCTGGGGGTGTGCATGGCACCAGGCTAGGAAAGCAGGCTGTGACAGGCAGCGACTGGATGCAGAGCTGAGCACTGCTACCTCATAGCTGAGCAAAGTCCCTATTGTATCTGAGCCCACAGTTATCCCATCTCAACCGCTAATCTGAAAGCAGCTTAGATACTCCTCCCTGACTCCAGCCTGGGCCAGTGCCAGGATGTTAGCTGTAATTAGCACCTTCATCCCCAGCTCGCACACAAGTGTGGCAGCCACTACCTTCCCTGCAGAGGTCACTGCACCTGAGCCCTCGAGGTGGCTGTGCCGAGGTCTGGGATGTGTTCCCTGAGTGACCGTGCCCTCTGCCCGGCTGTCCACTCTGCATGTCCAGCCCACAGAATCCGAGCATGGAGGGTCCTTGTAGGGAAGGGCGCGGGTATGGTGGCTCTGGGTCAAGCCACTGGGGTGGTGGAGCACAGCTAGAATCCCATGAGTCAGCGGAGGGGTCAGGCCTCACAACTGTCCTGCTTAAGCCCCAGAGGCACAGCCTCAGACCATGCCCATGCTTGGCCCTCCTGATATCACCTGCGCCTTAGTCACGCTGCGCCACCAGACCCCTACGGGATCTTCACTGGGCTCCCACCAGATCCCCCACCCACACAACCACCCATCGGATCCATTGCGTGCTGATTCTGTCCCCAGGAGCTGTGATTCCACCGGAAGGAAGCAGCAGTGAGCTCCAAGTAGAGCTTCCCCCGGTCAGCGAACTCATTTCGGGTGGCTTTGATTGCTTGCCACACTCGCAGCCCTGGCAGGCGGCACTATTCGTTGACGGCAGGCGGCGCTGCTCTGGAGTCTTCGTGCATCCGCAGTGGGTACTGACAGCCGCGCACTGCTGGAAGGAGTGAGCAAACACGGGAGCGTGTCTGAGGGGAGCGGGGTGGGCAGCGAGCTGGAGTGGGAGGGCGGGGATTCTCCTGGGCCAGACCTTGTGGGCGAGGAATGCAGGGAAGTGAGGGGCAAGGCCCAGGCTAGGGTGGAATAGACTGCCCGGAGTCTTGGCCGAGGGTCGTGTTGCAACACTGCAGAGCGGCTGTACCAGAGAGAGAGCCCCAGGCCCAGAGGCTGGGCTTGGCCAGAGATGAGATTTGAAACCCTAGACCTGGAGGAAGCACGGGGCTATAGTCAAATGGCAGGCGTGGCTAGGAGAGCCACTTCGCGAGGATAGAGAAACTTTCGTCTGTCTTTGCTGAGTCTGAAGGAGGAGCAGGGACTCCAGCAGCAGGGACTCCAGCATGTGGGAAGAGAAACCATGCAGGTCCCTGGGGTGACCCAGGTGCGAAAGTGGGGAGGAGTAAGTGGCTTGAGAGAAGCAGGCTTGGATCTTAGTCCAGCCTAAAGGAGCCAGGTGGTAGACAAGGGGTGTACAGGACATGGGGCAAGGGAGAGAGACAGGAGAGGACAGAGCCAGGTGGATGGGGACCGAGGTAGGCACGTCCCTGCAGGGCAGGGTGTATGGTGAGACAAGGCTAAAGCTCACTCGTCAGAGAAAAAAAAAATCTTCACATACGATTTTAAACAAATTAATACTAATGCTAACATCCGTGATGAACAAAATATCCACATTGGAAATAAGACAGGATCCAAGGATGTGTGTTTAGGGCAAGGTGCAGCATTAAATCTGTGTTCCCTTCAGTTTCTGATATTTTATTCATCGTTGATATTTTTTCACTCATTTTTTTCAATTTATTTTATTTTATTTTGATGAGTATGAACAAAAGTAAAAACAACTAGCAGATGCAAAGTCAGAAACAGGGCAACGTATGACAATTCATATGTTACAGATTTTCACATCAAAAATAGAAAATTAACAATACTTGTGTTTTTCTTTTTGGCACACCCCTCCCCTCAGAATGCCTTCAGGGCAGGTCTGGTTTGGCTTGAGGATGAGGGGATCGAACCAAGGCATCATGAGCCTGACTGCTTTGTTTCAGCACGCACTTAAACACCTGAGCTAGGGCTGGTGAGATGGCTCAGTGGTCTAAAGCACCTACTTAGAACAAGCTTAACAAAGCACAGGGAC